TATAAAGACTCATACTGGTCGTGAAGAGTCGATAGCAGGACGGAGATTATGAAAGAAAGAGGAAGACTCCAAAAAGTGGATATGTCTCCCTTCCTGTGGACTAGCTCAAAAACGACGGCCAATATTAATAAAATGGAATATTCAGGTGATCACGAAGGAGAGAACAACACTTCGCATGTCTACCCCCACAACATGAGAGAGTAGATAAATTGGATTGCTCGGGAGTTTAATGTATAGCACGCGGCGCCTGCGAACAGCAATATAATGGCGAAACTGGAGGAAAAATCAGCTTGCGAATCAAGGAACATCAAAGGCTCTGCAGGAAAATGGATACTGAAAGATCAGATATAGCGGAACACATTGCAGAGACTGGGCACGAGATAAATTGGAAGACAACATAAAGAAGGGACTCATACAGTAACAGCACAAAGAAACGGAGGATTAGGGAGTCCATTGACATTTTTGGGAGAATCATTTAATGAACAGGAGATTGGAAGAAGGCAGAGTTAGAGAGAACTTTGCTGCTTGCCTAATCAAACTCGAAAAAAGCTGGGATGCAGCAAGACAAGCAAAAAGGAGAGGCATGGATTAAGGATATATCGTTAACAGGAACTTTAACAAGAAACTCCAACTTAAGGGGCTTGACGTTTCACGTGGCTAAGGCCAGGTATTGAGTCACAGCAATTGGGTATTATGACCAAATTGGTTAATAATCCACTTGAGAAGCAGCATGGGAATCAGAGCCTGGGCGTTCTGAAGATGAGTCGACTTTCTAAGTGCTACTGAAGGCTTGGAAAAAAGCACCCGAAATAAAAGTACAATCAGAAAGATAGGAAACGGACTTAAGGGCCCATGAAGCAGATCCGGACAGGAGGCTAGAGTCGGATGAGCTACTCGAAGGGGAGGGGAGCAAGGCAAACAACAAGTTTGATGACGCCACGGTAAATTCGCCATATGGGCGCATCTCTTGTGGACGAGGACGAGATCGGAGGGTAGGAAATGGATAAAGGGATCAGGACAAAAAGTTGATCAAGGAATTGACATTACTCGTCTCTTTGACGAATTGTAGCTTGGTTGCTGAGACTAGCAAGACTCCTTGACGATGGCTACTACGATGCCGGCGAAACGTCTGGGAATGTACCAAGTCAACTGTCCAACTTTGGAAATAACCATGAATACTATGGACTCCGGACGAGATGAGTTCCTCTAGGTTTTCCTACTAACTTGATCAATTTACGAAAACAAAGTCAAACAACTTTTATACAACGAAAGGAGACTGCGGCCATACAAAAAGCCGCACAATCCTGGCATTCATAGCTTCCCTTCATTAATTAACTTCACCCGTTTTCATGCATTTAGGGTTAGCATGAAGCAACCAACCAAATCATGAGATGCTTCATTAGGTTTGCAAAATTAGGTATATTAGTAGATTTTTTGTAAAGTATGATTTCACGGTCTGAGGATGTCTAGCACGGCATGACAAACTAAACCCTAACACGGCTTCATCGTGGCGGCAGGATGGTGAATATGAGACTTCCTAACATATTCCAAAAGTCTTCACTCCAAGGCAATCCTTTTTCGGTTTCCAGTAGGACCAATTTACAATTACTTTAAATCAATCTTTCCTTTCAACTAAAACGTCAAATCTCACTAGCTTCTTGCTCAACATATAATTTACATAAGCATTTTTCGAGAACATCAATTAAGCATGGATAGCAATTTATCTGCTCCAGAGTGGACTACAGCTTCGACTTTACCTTGGTCTGACAAGTACCCTAATGGAATCATGAACTACTTGCATAAGAAATAAGTAACTTCGTCGATTGATTAAACGACAATCCCATCACAAATGTCTTTTGGGTGACGTCTAACTTGCCATTAATGTTACTTTTGCCCTGTAACCCTATGACATTTGTGACTGTGTATTGGAATAATTTAAAGTTCAGTCCAGTCCATTCCAGCCCGTATGAGAAAGCCTTATGGGAAGCTAGATTAAGTGAAGCTCAATGGTATCCTGAGGCATACTCATCTGATTGTGCCAAAACTCAGTCAGTTAATCAGTTCTGAAATCACCTTAAGCAACCTAGGCTGACAAAGTCCTTTCTCGAAAAACGCAAGGGGTAATTTAGACTGTTACTTGGTTCCAATTCATCGTGGACGATTTCAGGATGGTACGAACGAGTTTATTACAGGCCTTAGAATATCCGGGCGGACTGTGGTGTCTATCATTAAACGGGTTGTAAGACATTTTTAAGACAGCCTCTTGGATGACATTTAGCATGTAAAATCATAAACCATAAGACTATACGTTAAGTTGGTCTACCCACCCTACTTGTACATAGGCTGGAGAAGAGGAAAATAAGAAATTGTTCATGCGATGTTAGAGGAAGCCGAAGTTGGTTTTGTCATGCCTTGACGCAGGTCTGGGGCACATTTGTTGGGTTTCAATGGAAAAACACAGCGATCTTTCTTCTGTCATTTAAAGGACATCGTCATAGTCGGGCATCACCTTTACAACAGCCTAAAGCGGACCGCGTCAGGAGGCATAACAATCTTATCACTTACTGCTGCCCAACTAAGCCTGACTCTAACATAAAATAGCAAAATTATTTATCTTGTCTCTTTGTATATATATATATATATATATATGTGTGTGTGTGTGTGTTTAAGTATGCATAAACTTTCCGTGTATCCAGTCCGATAGACAGAAATGGGTTTCTCCTCGTGCGTGTTCATGTATGCGTGTATAGATGAATGCATGTGTACCTGAATGCATATGCATGTTTGCATTTGTGCATACACGTGTGCGTGTGTGAATACCATTGCAGGAATGCGTGTCTATGCGCTTCTATCTATCGAATGGTTTGTATGCAAATAGGTGTATGTGTGTGTACATATATCTGGCAGCTTCGAGTAGTTAGAAGGGACACAAATAGGGCATAGAGGCTTCCCGACTGAAATGTTTTCGCTGTAATAATACATTCATTGGGTGTAGTATTTATTGGGCTGCTGTAAATTGCCACTATTACCTTTGGCTTGGCAGAAGACACTCTCTAATCAGTCGACCGATGAGCACTAGCTCAATCATGCAAGCAAAATTCAATTGTAAAAGCTCATAAAGCACGAATCAACAAGTGCTGCATCTCCATCCTTAAACGAGACATACTGATAGTGTCGGCTTGTAGAATTCGACAACAAGACGTACCATTGGCTGTTAGTTTTGTCACTTTTGCTGGTGAATCGGGCCCCAACTTCTTTTTTTAACACTCCATCCACTCCCCCCAGAATGACTGTGCAACATCAGACCCGTCATTTAGCATCATCTCATTCGTTTCCAAACAACAATACCCTCAGCTGTAGGCATTACGGCGTCTTCGTGGCCGGAGAAAGACTAACTTCAACAAGCCAGCCGGCCTGAGCGTGCTTTAGATGCAAAATCCAGATGTTCTTTGAGATCGGGAATCTTGTATGAATATTTCCTAAATGAAGTGTGGTCCAGGAGAGGCTTCATTAGTTATTCTATTGAAAGATTGAAATTAAAAATTACAAACTGATGGCAATGTAGCAGCGGTATTGAGGATCGACTCTAGGAAACCATTTAAGTTCTAGAACTCGTCTAGAACTTTTCACGTTTACCAACTTCAGTGGGGCTCGAGCTCGAGCTGGATGATCACCAAAACTCGCCATTTGCCGAACGATGATGGTGAGATTGATGAAGAATCTAGCGCATAGGAAAAATTTAATGGTGAATTCCTGATTGCCTCAGCCAGAATGAGCAGTGCAAAGGGTTCCGTAATCTATCTCATTTGATGACAAGCACAAAAATGCTTGTCGATACGAAAGTCCCAGGCATAGAAGTGAGTTCGAACCCCACAGTCCGGTCTGGATGAGAGGGGCTTTTATGAGGCATTTTCCCACCAGCTCCTGTAAACGCTTCGTCAGAAGTATGTTTCAATGTATTACAGGGCTTTCATGGCAATTCAGGCTTCTCCAAACTCGCATCTGTTAGTGGGACTGTTGCTGAAGCAAACACACATTTCGCCCCACACATCCCGACAATACTTATATTCACCGTAAGCAGACCGCGAAATAATCAGTAATTCTTAAATAAGAACTTGATTGGCTATCGAAAAAGCGGTTTTTAATTATTCCTCCAGAAGAGACTCCATCGATAAACCGGCGGTTAAGTGTCCAGGTTGCAGTGAAACGAAATACATGAGGAATAGGCTAGACTACCCAACCACCCGAGGAGTCGAGGATGCTCCAAGACAAGAGCTGTAAAACTGGGATTTGGGCACATGGCATGTTTGGGAAGCCTGTTGTAAATTAGACCGGAAGCATCTCGTCTAGCAAGAATGCAGTTTTCGCAGTGTTCATTTGTTAATGTCCCATTCGTTTTACGCTCACTTATCTCCATTAACCTTTGCACTTAACTCGTACCAGTGGTCGTTTTGATTCAACTCCCACCATGACTGCTAGGCCCGGCATTTGTCCAAACTTAGTCTCTACAGCAGTTCTGCCCTTCTGCTCACATCTCGACACACAAAGGCCTTTGAAACTTTCCCTCAAACTGGCGCATATGCTAATTTCGCACCACAGTCCCGCTGCCAGGCCCGGCTACAGATCCAGTCAACCCCGACCCTGTGCGGCGTGGAGGCCGGCTTAAGCTCGCCCGTCAGACCGGCCGAGACGACCCAGAGTAGAGTGTGAAACCCGGCAACAGCTGTCCCCCGGTACTGCGTGGCCTGAGGGGAGACCAACATTTTCGGGGCGAGACTGGCCTGAACAAATGTCCTCGGTCGCTTATTCACTTGCAGACCGGACGGAAAAATCAACAGAAACATGACGCCGCCGCACAATTACCAATCTTTTGCTAAAGTCGTCCACAGCTAGAGAGACAACCATTGACCTGAAACTAAAGATAAAGCAAACCTTCAGAAAAGCCTCAAAACAACCCTTTTTGAAAGGCTTCTAAGGCAGCATTGTCATCTGATCTGTACAATTTCAAAAAGGGCCAGAGTTTGAATATAGACCTGCTAGAAGTGGAAAAACAGTCATTGTAAACGGTCAAAGTAGTCTCCAAAAAGAGAAATGGGTCTGAAGAAGTGTTGTCATAACTCGGCCGAACTGAGGCATCAGGAATATACTTTATGTCACTAAGAGCTAGTTTTGTCGCAGTCGCCTCGTCTTCGCAACTTGTTCGTATTGTCAAAGCGACCTCAGCTAAACACGTCGTAATAATTTATAACGCCAGACAACGGACTTGGTACTTTCTCAAAAGTTCTATTGTCATCGTCATTTCTGTATCTCTCTAGCTAGTTTTTCACTCTGTTCATCCGTTAAAACATGCTTGTCCTGTTGTACAACCGCGACCACTTACATCCAAAGCCAAAAACAAACTGATGAGACCTGGTCGAGCTAAAAACTTCAGTTAGATTTTAATGAAGCTGATTTTTTGGTGGTATGAATTAGCAGGAATTTAGATGTGAATCAGGTTCTACCTTCGATTCATTGCCCATAGTTACCATAACACAAAAGATTGTTTCTCATTTCTGAGAGAAATCTCCATGATAAAGCTATATCCATACAGGGCGTGAAGACTATGCTGAATTATGTCATTTGAAGTGAGAGAGGTCGACATTCTGTGTAAACAAGGAGTATATAACTGACAGATACAGTGCTAGAGTATTATCTAAACTTGGTTTGATGCCAGCAGCAACAAGATATTATTGAGCCCACCTTCATTTCGAGGGAAAGTGTTTGATAAAGAGATTGAACTGTCGATGTCACCAGATGATGTCAGCGGATTCTTATTAACCAGCTGTTTATTGACTTCACAAAAACAACCATAGTAAAACTAACAAATCAAGAAAACTTTAATAAAGTTGACAGAATAATACCCTGTCCTAATGATCTCCGTCGTACGATGGACGACAACTCAGCACGTTTTCGTCGGAATCGAAGGATATTGCCTCGAAAGCAGCAACAACAAGAAAGCTTTATTAAAGCCAAGCGACAGTTGATCAAAAGGAATCAGCTACCATCTTCTAGCGAGATTGAGCTTCGCATTTCTTCACCAAACACTTTCATTCAAAATGGAAGTAAGCTCATAAATAATAAATTAGGACATTCCTTAAGCCAAACTTTCTTTGCATATACATGATATAATGTCATGGCTTTATGAATGCTCATCATAAACAAGTACGCGAAGACGAGTTCCACTAACTGAAGCGATGGCCTAATATCAAAATTCTAAATAAATCTATAATATATATATATATATATACTCCCAGTGGGTTCGAATCCAGCTGGGCTGTTGAAAAGGGCTAGGGTAGATCGAACTCGCGAATAGGTTTGACTGAAAATAGTCTTATGAAGTGAAATTTAATGCAGAAATCAAGCATTCGTCTGACTTTTGTGTGGATAGATTTGCGACCAGCTGAAACTGATAGGCCTTAACGTCAAAAGGCCCCAATGCCTTGAACGTTCATAACGGTCGTCCTAGATCCCATCAAAGGATGATGGTATTCTCATCTGCAGATTCGACCTCTCATCACCACCCATAGTGGGATTTGAGTAATGAGAAG